GGTTAAACTGCTGTATTATGTTTGCTTGTTTGTTATAAGGCCAAATTGTACTCACCGCGGTTATCGATTTTCGGCACAATAAGCTATCAGCCTCACCTCTGAACCACCAGCGAACGTTGCATTATGAAGAATTAAATATTAAAAATTGTAGATACATATAAAATTTTAAAACGGTGTTAACTCCTTTCGAATCCTGAACTATTCAAATTACCAAATCGTTTAATTCTTTACATTAAATTAAATATAATTATTTTTAAATAATTAGTAGAGTCGCTTACTATTATTTATGTCTTTATATTAAGTAAATATTCTTTATAACACCATTAGCTTTCGGTATCGAAATATTATCTAAATTCCACTTATACTTCATTTATAAATTTAGGTTTAGTTTGTTTTAAAATTTTCACACTGAGCTACACAAAGGGATATCTACATATAGCCATCCTTAATTTTAAATTGATAGATTAGAGGTAAGCACTCACTGATAACTATTGAACTACTCATTTCTGATCAAAAAGTGGAATTTCTCGTAGTGAATCTACGGCCCCATAGTGTGGAGTGTCTTTTTGTAGCAACTGTAGCATCTTGTCTAATGTTAATGTTACAAACTGCATATAAGAATTTCATGATTTATATTATGTGTTTCAGGGTTACTGTTTTTTAAATAAAATTAGTTACTATTGGCTATCAAATTAATTCAGAATATTTCAAGCGAAATTATCTTTGTCCGAGGAAGCCACATAAAATTACTAGATATAATAAAACTGGTTTCCCTGAGCTGAGCCAGTATTGAAGTTACCATATTTGCTATAAAACACTAAAATATTATACATTTATCTAATCTATTAGAACCCAAAGAAACATGGGATTCATACTTTAGTGTACTTTTAACTAAGCTTTTTAATTCAATTCTTGTTTACGAAAAGGTTTTAATTTCAAGAAAAATTGCTAGACACATTATGTGTAGTTTTCTGTTTACACACGTGGGAATTGTGAGACACACTTGTCGTTGTTTGATCTCAGTTTATGTACGAAATGTGAATGTTCACTGGATCGGTCTAATGCAGTGTTTCTCAACTGGCTGAATGGTTCACTCGGAGGTTAATGGGATCAGAATCAGAATGAATGAGTATTATCAATTATACAACAAATTCAAGAACAAAAAAGTCATTAGTTATAATTATTTATTCTAGTTGTAGTTTGATAAATACATTTATTTGCTGTTTATTTTATGTTGTATTCATTCTAATTGTAGTTTGATGTATATTTAAGTCATAATAAAGAATCTTACATATTAATTTAGTACTTTTTTTTTAAATGGGGGGAGTGAGTTGTTATGATAAACATATAGGGGTGAATGATATTGAAAAAGGTTGAAAAGCACTGTTCTAATGGACAGATCTCGTATTGGAGAAATGATATTGAATATGATTGTAAACTTTCTATTTGTATTTACAAGAAATAATACAAGTTTCTAGTCAATGTCCAAATATGTTGTAAACAAAAAATCAGATGAGTTACAAA